CATGGTGTCCACTTTAATTGTACCTATTTGAAAAATGAATAAAGAGCTCTTGGCTTCTCCAGGGATGCTCCTCAACTATCTAGTCGCCTGAAATCCACAATTCCTTATAGCATAATGGGGATGACACAGACAATGGAACTTTCTGGATGTCCTGAAAGCTCCATTCACAGGGCTGCCTCTCTGAGGTCATACACTTCCCTGAGGAGTTTCCTGGTAGGAGAGGAGAGGAAGAGGAGCTAAAGAATGAAGGGGCAACACTGGGGTTCTTCTGGGTTTTTTGCTTCAGTTCCTATTCCTTGTAACATTCACTCCTCCTTTCCCTGAGCAGGTCTTCTCTTGGAACTCTTCTGAGAACACACCAAGGTTCCTGTAGAGGAAAAAATGGAAGCAGAATTAGATATTAATATAGACAAGAGGGAGGTCTCACTTTCCCAAACAACACCCCTTGCAGCTGGACTATTTCCCCTCTGCCTCCTCCTGGAGCAGTTTTAACTCTGGTGGATCCTGTACCCAGCCCCCAGGGCCAGTAACCAGGCACCAGCGTCTGTTGCTAAGGGAAGGAGGGGCCTCTGCTATGCCTACATACAAGACTGGGCTTGACCTCGCTCCTTGTCCTGCAGACTTCCTTTGCTGGAAGCTCAGCTGGGCAGCAGGAAGTGTTGATAGCAGAAGGGACAGTGGGACGGTATTTAGCAATGGCTCAGGAATGCAGAGGTGTGGCAGAAAGAGAAGATGCCTTTGAATAGGTCTGAAAGCACTGACCAGAGGTTTCTGTTCTTGGGATCTATAGCTGGATAGGACTGGCTCAGATCCTGCTCTTCCCATTAATTAGCCATGGCTTGAGCAAATTACTTCATCTCTTCAAGTGGACTTTTCATTTGCAATAAGACAATAATGTGTTGAAGGTTTAATGAAATAATGCATATATGACAATTTGGACATAGTAAAAAGAAGTCTATCCCAGTTTGGCTAGAACTTTCCCAGTTTCAACACTGTAAGTCCTGCATCCTGGGAATCTTTTCAGTCCTGAGACAGTTTGGTCCCTGATACAATAAGCCTTCTAAAAATGTTGCAGCTAACATCAATAGTATCATAAATGTAGGCACACATGTATGCAAGTGCTAAGATTAGCAGCTGCCCAAATACTCAAAGCATTTCTTACAAGGCTGCTTTTTACAGTCCTCTCAAAACCAAACTGGACTTTTGTTTTTAATCTTCAGTTTTCCCTCAAACCCCATAATGTTCCCATTTTAAGGACAAGGAATCCAAAACAGAGAGGTGCATAACTCTCTCCAGTTGGCATGACTCATAAGCAATGCTGATAAAATCTGAACCCTATCCTGATGACTCCAAGTCCAGTGCTCTTTCCTTAAGAAACTTTCCAGAACACAAACATTTCTGAGTTCCTTTGGAGAGTACTACATAGCACTAAGTACTTCCACTTCTTCTTTTTCTCACTGTACCCTCAAAGTTGGATTCTCTACACTTTCAAAATAACCTAAGCTTCCTCATCTCTTACATGTTTCTATTTTGTACCATAAAGTGTAAAAGTCAGCCCTCTGTATCTGTGGGTTCCACATCTGGGGTTCAACCACTTGTGGGTTAAAAATATTCAAGAAATGAAATGTGTTTGTTGTTTGTACTGAATGTGTACAGTCTTTCTTTTATCATTATTTCCTAAACAATTTAGTATAACAATTATGCAGGACTTACATTATAATTGGGTATTTTAAGTAATGTATAAATGATTTAAAGTGTACAGGAGGATATGTGTAAGTTAAATGCAAATACTATACCATTTAATATAAGAGAGTTGAATATCCAAGGATTTTGGTATCTACAAGGGGTCCTGAAACCAATCCCTTGTGGATAGTGAGAGATAACTGAATACAGGTTTTAAATAGTATTTGGAATAAAAGAGCCAGTGGAAGGTTTCAAGACTTTGGCTTAGACATAAATGGGACATTTATATTTAGACATTATCATCAGGCTTCCTGTACTGCATGTGAAACCTCATATCCAAGGAAGTGAAGAATTAGAAAGGACCTGGTTCAGGGTTAATGAGACCTATGACCTTGTGTGTGAGCTTCCATCTGAAATTTAATGTGCTTGAAAAACTAGCTGTGTTCAAAAACATCAAACCAATATGATATAATCATAATAACAATATTACTATATATGTATGTCTGTCATCTGACTTATCTTTCTTTTCAATAATTTCCAAGAGGGCTGGGGATGTGGCTCAAGCGGTAGCGCACTCGCCTGGCATGCGTGTGGCCCGGGTTCGATCCTCAGCACCACATACAAAGATGTTGTGTCCGCCGAAAACTAAAAAATAAATATTAAAATTCTCTCTCTCTCTCTTTAAAAAAAATAATAATTTCCAAGAGAGGATGCAAGCCTCAAGATCTTCAAACCCCTCAACTCCAAGTGCCTAGGTTTGCCAGATAAAACCACAGCTGTGCCCAGTTAAATCAGAGTTTCAGGTAAACAATTTCTCAGGATAAGTATGTCTCATTCAATATTTGGGGGATACTTATACCAAAAAGTTATCTGTTGTTTACCTGAAATTGAAATTTAACTGAGTGTCCTATTTATATTTGCTAAGTCTGCTAACCTGGGAGGAGAGTTCAGTCAGGTTCCCAGTTGGTTCTGTCTCTGTGGTACTAACAGTTTAGGGGCTCAATCTGTTGCTGGGGAATTTTCATACATGCCTTATTCAGAGCCAAGTGTTCCTGGTAGATCTTTTTCTGAGACCTGAAATTATTGCTTAACTAGAGCCAAGTGTCTTAGTCCACTAGGGCTTCTAGAATAAAGTGCCATAGACTAGATGGCTTACAAACAACAGAAATTTACTTCTCTCAGTTCTGGAGGCTAGGAGGCCAAGCTCTGGGTGTCAGCATGGTGGTGTTTGGGGGTGGGCCAAGGAGGGGGATTTTCCTGTGAGAAGCTCTCCTTCCAGGTTGCAAACTATCAACTTCTTGTCTCTTCTTCTTTTCATTGCAGAAAGAGGCAAGAGAGCTCTCAGGGGTCCTTTTATAAGGACACTAATGCCATTCATAAGAGCTTCAATTTCATGAGCTAATTAATGTCCCCACTTCCTAATCCATCACATTGGACAAAGGACTTCACCATGTGAAACTGGGAGGAACACATTTAGTCCGCTGCAGCAAGTCATTGCGGAAAGGCATAGAGAAGGCTGCAAGTGGACTTTTTTAACTGATCCATTAAATGTTCATCAAAAGCCAAGACCTGATGCTATGGGAAGATGCTGGATCCACACCACTGACAAAAATGCTAGAGGTGGGAGGAACTTGAGGATTCACAGAGGTGCCCCTAGATGGCGCCATAAACACAAAGCCCAGTGGAAGCCCAATTCAGCTTTCCAGAGTGAGGTCCACCCAGGGAGTGAGGATCACAAGGCCTTAGTGGAAAACAAATGAATCTTTTCCTGGGTGGGGAACCCATCACATTACAGCTGAGCAAAGTGCACAAAGCCAGCAAGATAGCCTGAAACTTAACAATTTAGGGATAGATACTTGTCTATCCAAGGTCTCCTAACTCTTCTGTTAGCTTCCCTTTTCTTTTGTTGTGGAAGACATCCAGCAGGATCCCTTGGTTTATCTTTACCACCACCACCACCACCACCATCATTCCTAAACTTATTATAACTTATAACCTGCCTAGTTATTTTTAGAAATATAAAGTGGTAGAAGTAATTACACACTTGAATATTTTTGAAGCTCCACTATGTGCCCAATAGTGCCTCCGTTCTTGACAGCCATTGTTAGCAGTCCTCACTAGAACCTCTCTTTATGTGACCTCTCTTTATCTTATGGGTTATTTTCCAGGTGGATATAGACACAGGCCACAGAAAAGAGATGTCTACACAGGTCCTTGGAAAGAAAGCCTGAAAATTATTCAGTAGCAACCAGCATCTGGGTTTTATGGATGAAGCCATGGCTCAAGAGTTAACTCCTCCCAGGTAACACGGTAAGAAACAGCCATGGGGCCAGAGCCCAGGACTGCTGGACCTCAGCCTATGGTCTTTACTCCTATGCTCAATGGCAGTGACTCTCAAACTGGAATGACTTTCTCCTGCTTGCACCCCCACCCCCCACCCCTGTTAGGGTCATTTTTGGTTGTCACAGCTGAAGGGGGGCCTGTTATTTCAGCAACAGAATTTCTGTGCCCAGAAATATGATTTTCCCATCCATAATGGTTATAGCACTGCTATTGAGAAATCCTCTCCTCAGGTCTGGATATAGGGTCAGGAAACATGGCTTCCTCGTGAGCCGTGGGATTTGGGTTTATTTACTTTTTCTCTCTGCCTCTCAACTTTTTCATCTGTAAAATGGAAACAATAATACAAATCCGTCTCCAAGGTTCTCACTGGCTGATGACATTTGCATCTGAGGAGTAATGGTGAAAACCCTCCATCCAGTCAAGGCGGTTCCTCATGACGCTTTCTAGCTCCGGAGACGCTTCCAGAAGAGTGGTGCTGGCTATCTTAGAGGGGAAACCCTCCTTTCTTAGCTGCCATTCTATACCTGCCTGGGGATACCGGAGAATTTTTACTCCAAGCCTTGGGTGTAGGAGAGATCTCTAAGTCTCAGAATGCTCTTCTATAAACCTCTCAGAACTAGTCAAGGTGGCTCCACAGGTGTGTGGAGCGACCGCTCGCACAAGCTGCGGCACCGCGGACCGGCGCGTCTGGGCCCACTCCTTCCCGCCGAGGGGCGGGGCCAAGCGGAGCCGAGGGGCGGGGCCAAGCAGAGTCAAGGGGCGGGGCCGAGTCGAACCGGGGGGCGGGGCCGAGTCGAGCAGAGGGGCGGGGCCAAGCGGAGCCGAGGGGCGGCGGAAGCGGGCGGCAGCCCCCGCCGGGCACCTCGCTCCTTCCTCTTCATCGCTCCTCCCAGAGCTCCGCCCGCAAATGCGGCGGGGGCTGCGCGGCTCCTGCGCCAGGTGAGAGCTCGAGGCTTCTAGGGCCCGGGGCCCGGGGGCCCGATAGGCTAGACCCTGCCGGCCAGCCTGAGGGAGTGGAGGGACGCGGGGCCCCGCGCCTGTAGCGCTGGATCCGGGCGTTAGTCACCTGGGTGTCTGAAGCCTCCGCGTCGCTGAGACAGGACTGGGGACTTATCAGGTGGGAGGAGACTAGGTCCATCCCCCCTACACCTGCCTACACCTGTATCTGTTAAGGGGTTGTCGGCCCCACCCCGCCCTCAGAGACCCTGCCCCTTCCTGGGAAACCTGGTTGGGAAGATGTTGAGCCCTCCCTCGACATCTGGACCATCTGGACGTCTAAACCTCCTTCCCAGGGTCTATGAAAACGGGTGCCCTCCCCTTCACCATTCCCTCCTCTCTTCCGAGGACCCCATCCCCGGTCGTTGCAAGAACCAAAGTGGGTTCTCCCCAAATCTCCCCGAGTTCCTGTTTCTGTGTCTCTGAACCCTCTTAGAGGCGGGGACCTTCCAACTCCTGCGTCACACCCCTTTCTCCCCTAGGTCCTCCCGGCCTTTAAGGATTGAAGCGCCCTGAACTTCCTTCCCCCCTCGGGAGATGCGACCCCCGCCCCCCAGCTGGAATGTTCTGGGTAGCCGTTTGTTTCCGGAGGCGCGGGGGTGGGAGAGCCCGGGGCTTAAGAGCCTCGAAAGGGGAGGAGGTTWTTGGCTAGTGGTGGCTTGGCCCAGCCCCCACGGTGCAGAGAAGGGCATCAAATCGGCTTTGTGGGGTAGTGGCCTACTCCCTCTGGAGAGACTGCTCAGTGCCAGCGGAGGCCCTGGTGAGGAGGAGTCACTGACTGGGAGTCTGGGAATTGATGGTCAGGTAGATGTATTTGAGGACTGCGGCCCTTGGCATTCTCTCGCCCAAATCTAACTCCTCAAACCGGTCTGGGTGGCGCTTGGATTTCCCAGGCCAAAGGAAACCTGTAAGGGGACTTGAGCTTGTTTCTTCCAGCTTCAGAGATGACATTGAGGCAACCAAGAGCTGGGAACATCCCAACTTCAAGATCTGTGCTTGCTGCAGTTTTAAAGACAGAATATGGTGGTGGAGGAATCTGTCCTTCCCTGTCTAAAGAGAGATGATCTCTAGTTGGAGCGGTTAACATGGGCTTTAATGTACATCTGGACCTTGTAGATATTAGTAGCTATGTATCGCCTCTGTAACTCACATGATTAGCTTGTGGGATACTCATTATGGCAAATAAATGTCAGGATCTCTCAGTTAATTTTGGCCACTATGACAAAACCTATTAGGTATTTATACCATAGGTCAGAAGGTTAGTTCTAAGGCAGAAAGGGAAGCGATACCTGTGTCCAGCCAGACAGTTGTTTTTCTGGGAAATATAAGAATGATTTTTTTCCTTGTTTAAAAACCCAAACAGGTTAAAAACATATTTAACAAATTTTCTTTAATAAGAGCTATGTGAGATTGAGACAGTCCTAGGAATTCCTGGCAGTTTGATCACAGAGTGTAATTGTGGCACTGTCTATCCCTGAGGCATGGCTCTTGTTACTTAGTGGGAAGAGACTTACCCATAAATAGTGATTTATGGCACAGTGTCATTGCAAGCCAAGCAAAGAAAGAAGAGAAATCATCCAAGGCCACTGTTGTTTGAAAAAGGTGTTCAGGGGTATGGGCAGGGTGAAGCAGTGAGATTTGAAATAATGTATTCAGCTGTCTTTGCTTTTTTGTGTATTCTTTTCAGCATTTATCAAGATAAAAAAAAAATAAGCTCTCAGAGAGTACTATTAACATTTTGTTATATGTCTTACATTTTTTACTCTTCAGAATAAAATCTATATGTAACAAAATGTTAACAATAAACTCTATATATAACAAAATTTTATTATATAAAATCTATATGTAACAAAATGGAGTATTTTGTATTTTTTAAAAAAAAACTATAGACATCTTTTCATGTCACCATGTAAATAGCCCCATTATTTTAATGACTGAGTTTATCATTATTTAACCATTTTGCTACTCACAAATAGTTAGCTTCTTTTTTTTTTTTGGTGAATCATTCATTATATGTTATAAACAAATGTGATGCACATCTTTTTAGTATGTTTTGCTTACCTGACGATTTCCTTAAGAGTCCTAGAAAACAGGTTGCTGTATCGAGGTGTATGAAATTTGAAATTTTGATAAACATTGTCAAGTCATCCTCTATCTACATGCCTGCCATCAACTTGTAGAAACTCTTGTTGAACTGGTTTGATGAAGACCCCTAATGGTTTAAGAAATTTTTTGTTTCCCCAGTGACAGTGAGAGCCTGGGCAACATGAGAGATTGGACAGCTCACTACACTGGAGAATTTATTGTTAGGAGAATTAATCCCCAAAGAGACTGAAGTGAGTCCCAGGATGGCCAAAGAGGAGCCCACCAGTACCTTAAAGGACTTGCAGGAGCTGCAGAAGAAGCTGTCTTTGCTGCTAGAGTCCTTCCAGAATAACTCAAAGGTCAGTTTCCAATCACTATATATAATGGAAAAATTTCAAGTTAATGCTCATGTAAATAACAGTAAGTTCTTTCTTTCTTAGTAAAAGAAATTTGTAGCTAAGTCAGGGATCCTTCTAGCTCACCCCCTGCCATGTCTAAGTTGTGAACTTTCAAACTGGTTGTTTAATGTGGCTCCAAGAGCATCAGCCATCATATCCATATTCCAGACAATAGGATGGGAAGAGAGCCAGAAGAAAGATTTGCAAACCATTTTCAATTTAAGAAGGCTTCCAAGAAATCACACACATTTCCAGTTATAGACCAGAATTTGGTTGGATGATCACCCCTAGTGGCAAGTGCAATTCTTTAACTTGATTCAGAGAGGCTACTCTCAAGCTGTGCCACGGATACCATCCTTTTCTGGTTTTATTGTTAATTTTGGCTTATGTGTTACCCTGAAAATGAGAGGCCAAAGTCTACTCTAAGATTTGAGTTCAGGTTCCAGTAAAAATTCAATTACCTAGCCAGTAGTATAATTTGAGCCACATATAGTGAAATTTTCTAATAGCCACATTTAATAAGTAAAAAGAAGTAGGTGAATTAATTTTAAGACTGCATTTTATTTAATCTGATATGTCCACAGTTGTATCATTTAAACCTCTAATCATTATAAAAATTACTATTGAAAAAAGTTCTGATATTTGACATTGTTTTTTGTACTCTTTGAAAATTCAGTTTGCGTTTTAGACTTACAGGACATTGCAATTCAAATGAACTACTTTTAAAGTATTCTGTAGCCACTTGATGGCAAGGGGACTTGGGTATATTCTGTTTTCTTGCATATTTATTGCTTTCTTCTATATGCCTGTTAGCATTTTTTTCATAAATTATGCTATTAACATTTTGTTATCAAGCAAAAACAAAAATCCACAAAGACAACTGCTGTGACACAACCATCAACATGTAAAAAGTTATATACTGAAGAGTCATACTTGATATCTTTCTAGACTGTGTTATGCACTATGACCATAAAAATACACATGCAGATGTAACAGTGTGAACTATTTTATAATTTGTTTTTTTCTGTGGGTCAGCATGGTCCCACTGGTGTCTACTTGAGCTATTACAGAGGTCCTTTCTGGATTTACTCCAGAATGCATCTGCCACTCTGTAAATCTGCCAAGCTATTTTTAAATTGGTCAAGCGGCTTTCTAATCAGTTGGCTGAGAATCTTGTTATTAAAAGTTAGCTCAGTAAGACAGGTCCTCATGCCCCTTCCACATTCATAGCTGTTTCCATTCACTGGTGGTAGTTATGTTCTATAAAGTGACCACAAACATGGGATCAGCAAATGCTGAACCATTGCTCCTAGGAGAAATACACTTGTTCCTTCTCTCTCCTGGTCCTAACTTTTCATCAGCTGACCAATACCTAACCTTGTTTTATGTGCATTTTTGTTTAAAGACACTATTTAATATGTGTCATTGATCCTTACCATTGATCTCAAGGCCAATAATACTGAACCTCATGGCTCAAACAAATACATGTGTGTTCTAACTCATGAATTTTTTTTCTCCATAAGGCATATCTTTGTCCTTAGGAATACTAGGCAACCAACCCTATGGCACAACACTTGGGGCCATTTTAAATAGTGAAATGACCAACCAAAACCACAAAAATGTGAAATTGTGGCACTAAACATGATGCTATAGTTTGTCTCTTGAGTGTCCCCCAAAGGCATATGTGATGTGTTAAAAACTTGGTTCCCAGGATGGCACTGTTGGGAGGTGGGGCCTAATGGGAGGTCATTGGGGGTGTGCCCTTTTAGAGGATTGTTGGACCCCAGCTCCTTCCGAATTCTCTTTTTCCCCTGGTTTTGCTCCATTGCACATTCCAGCTGTGACATGCTATCTGGCCACAGGCCCCAACAAGGCCAACAGGGTCAACCGATCATGGACTGGAACCTCCAAACTGTGCCAAAACAAACCTTTTCTAAGTCAGTTGTCTCTGGTTTTTGTTTTAATAGTGGAAAGCTGACTGACATACCTAATAAGGACACATTGAAAGAGCTGAAACCAGGCAGAGTTTCTCCTTGAGTTTTCCTTGATTTTTCTCCATTCAGCTGGGAATGTAGGTCAGGTGACTTAGCTCTTCATTGCTGTGCACACATCCACTAGTCCTCAAAAGCCAGAAGTATCGTTTGTGAGGTTACAAATACATGTTAATGAGGAGGCCAGTTCTCAGAGATGTGGAATTTACAAATAATAAGGATTGTCCATTCATCAACATTGATTGAGCACTTATTATATGCCACACGCTGTGTTGGACACTTGGCATGCCTTACATCTGCCTTCTGAGGTATGCATTTCAACAAAGAGGAACTCACTGGTTGCATTTCTTCCTCTCAGGTCCTCAGCTGTGTTCACCAGAATAGGTTTGGGCTAGATAATTACCCAGCCAGTCTACTCCCAGATCAAAGGAAAAAATTATTAGCCGTCTACATCCTGATGTTTTCAGATAGTCCCGTCATAGCATATTTCTTTTAAATTTTAAAAAATCATATTAATTATGTTAGTATTAATTGCATTGTCAACTCAGGGAAGTGACTCGGAGGGAAAAGGAGAGCAAATCACCTATAGGCCCAGTGGTGGTGATTATTATTAATAATTATTATGACTCTTTAGTATAATAAATGGTTGTGTCATGGCAGGTGTCTTTCTGGATTTTTGTTTTTGCTTGATGAGTCTTGCAGCTTTTCCACATCAACGTGGGGATCTCCAGAACAGTTGTTGCCCAATAGTCTATCAGCAAGGACAGCAGATTGACATACCATAATTGACGTAACTGTCCCCTTGTCTGAGAAATTCAGATGATTTCTTTCCCCCAGATAATGTGTCCCCTCTCCTCATATGTTAATGAGCCTTTGGAACTGCAGGTAAGAATAACTGGGCATTAGTTGAAGTGGGTTCCATCTCTCTGGGAAACCTCTGGAATGCCTGGTTAGGTTTTTATTGTCTTTACTTTTAGGCTTTAGATACGGGAATCTGCTCAAGAGATGGGACCTTTTAGGCCTTTGGGAAATGTAAGGCCACTTTAGAAACCAAGGCAAGGAGTGAAGCAGGACTGACCCTCTGAAGGAGTTGGGGTCAGGCAGGTTGCTGGGTGAGAGGTAACTGTCAACATGTGTCTCTTGGGCATTTTAGCTCCTCTGTGTAGCTTTTCATTTTAGCTTTTCCTTGTGTGTCTGCTTCATTCTTTTCCTCTGCAGGCTGATTCCTTGGCCTTTTCTTTCATGTGGGCACCTTTGACTTCTCACCTCTCCTTCAGCACCCAAATGAAGCCCTCCCCTTAGGGACCTGGGATTCTCAGTGCCTGATTCCTGGGAGCATGGAGGTAGCTGTTGGGCTGGGGACTTTCATTCATTGCTCCTTCCTTGGAGGAGGCTGTTGTCAGGGAAGAGGAGAGGTGGCCCATGAGTTGGGCAGATAACCATGGTGGCATTTTCTAATGTAGATTTTCTCTGCCCACATGGTTTTCTCTCCTCCTGCTGGGCCTTCCCTGACCCAAGGGGTGTTTCTGAACAAACATTCCTGAGCACCTGTGTGCCAACTCTGAATCCGATGCCAGCGGCACGCACCCAGGGACTATAATGTGGGAGTGGCTGTCACACAGCACCTTTGACTTGTGATTACCAGTGGTTTTAAATAGTCCTGGCTCCACTCCCTCCTGTTTTCTGGCAGCAAGAGACAGTGAGTCACCGATTGTCTTTCCCATTCTGACCCCAGAGAATTTGCCTGGCTCTGAGTAGCCTCCGGTGGAGGGGCGGAGTCTTCATGCCTCAGATCCTGACCACCTGGCCCTGCTGTGGAACCTTCCAAGCCAGGGTTTATATTTACAAATAAATCACCGTTGTCTGACCTTGGACAAGTCACTTCAGCTTATTTCCATCTCCTGTTTTCTGGAATAAGCAAGGCCAGGCCTACGGTCTTGTGGTGAGGATTATCCATGATGCCATTCGAGAGGCCTTCACAGGGAGCCTGAAACACAGTGGAACCATTTCCTCACAGCCTGCATTGTTCAGTGAAGCACTGTACCTGTAAAGTGTAGGTGGGGACCATGTATCTCCAGGATGGGGATGGGGAGTCGCAGAGCATGTTGCTGTGTGACAAGCTGCCTTGCTTCTACTTCCACCCTCCCATTGTGTGTCCCCCCCACCCCCATTCTCACCCCTGGGCTTTAGATAATGTTAGGGTGTTCCTCATCACCTGCCTCATACCATTTTAGGGAGAAAGTAGGAAATAGGAAAGCAATCAAAACAGTGCCTGGCACCTGTGTGTCTAACAAATATCCTCCTTGCTAGGTGTGGCTAAACTGGCCTCCACTTCCTGATACATGGGCCTGAGCAGGGCCATTCCTTTGTGGGAGAAGACAGTTGCTGGGTTAAGCTGGTTGAGTCTGAAAATGGTGTCTGCATATCTGAATGACTTGCTGGTTTTTTGGTTGTAGATCCCAGACTTCCTTAAGAACTGGAAGCAGGATTGTCTTGCCTTTCTTGGCTCCCATGCAAACTCTCCCTAAGTCCTGCTGATTTTCCATCCCACTCCCAGTCTACATCTCCCTCCCCTTAGCCCCCACCATCGAGCCCAGATTTGGCCATTGTTGTTTCTTGCCTGATGTCCTGCAGGTCACCCTAATTGCCTCTTCACACAAGCACCAGGTTTATCTTCCTTGAATTACTCTTTCAGTTTTGTTACAGTTCTGCCCAGATGCCCTCAGTCTGCTTCATCCCACCCTCAAGGTAAAGTTTAAACATGTGCTGTCCACTGGAAACATTATGTGAGTCACATATATAATTTTAAGTATTTTAGTGGTCACTTTAACAAAAGTAATAATTGCAATAATATATTTTATGTAACCTTGTTTACCCGGAACATTATAATTTCAGCATGTAATTAATATGGAAAGTCATTAATAAGGTAACCTATATTCCTTATTTTCATACCCTTAGAGCAAATTTCCACTGGAAATACTTGATATCTTCAATATTCATGAAATTTCCAGTTTAAAAAACTAGATCAGCCTGACCAACCTATTTGAAACATACTTAAAAATTTTATTAGTGCCTAAATCAATTATCAATTTTAAAGTTTAAATTGTGCCTGCCATCTGAGTGTCCCAGCTTCATCTGCTCCTCTTGCTGTATAGGTGTCCCTTCCTGGCAGGGTCCCCTCGGTGCATGCACTGTTGCCCCTTACCTGAGCACTCATCCATTCTGCCTCGCCGYGCTCCCTGGGCTCTTTTGAGTATAAGCATCAGGGAGAGAGTTCAGTCTGTCAGATGAGGCAGGGGTGTTTGCTAAGGACCCACCTGGACTAGAACAGAAAGCAATCAAGACCTTAGATGGCTGGAGACCCCAGCCTGCCCCCCACCCCCAAAGCCTCTCCACCTCCCTCTCTCCTTTAGTGCTGTAACTTAGGATCTCACTGGGCTCTAGTAATGGGGTGTTTGAGTTGGGCAGCTCTGGCTCAGAGGTGATTCCTGGTATGGTCACCTCTGGATAGAGAATAGAGAAGCTGAATAGCAAGGTCTTTAGTGAGGAGGCTGTATTGCCAGTGGGCATAATGCCATTTTGTAACCTGCCGGGAAGTGAAATTGGCATGCCTTGAGAGATTTCTCCTTAAGAGCCATTGCTGAAGCCACAAGACAGATGGCTATGGCTTCATGGAACAGCCTTTTCTATTTTAGCAGAGTGAACCCAACACTTTGGTTGCCATCAGCATGAACTGTCATACCCTCCTATTTCCACCTTGCCCCCAAATTCTCACCATTTGTGGCACTTGTGCTTTGGGGATCACTGCATGTGAATTATGCTCTCATGTCTGCTCATAAGTCCTGCCACTGGGTGGGGGACCTCAAACTTGCCTCCTGTCTCACAGCTGCCTTAAATGGCTGCCCAAGGGACTGTCCTGGGAGAAGTCTTGAGGTGACATCTTACTCAAGAGCCCTCCTACTTTCTGAATGTTGGTTGTGCTTCTCACAGCTCGGGGAATCCATTCAACCTGAATTCAGACATGGCACTCAGTCCCCTTCTCTCTGTCCTTTGCCTGCAGGTGGTTGCCTTCATGAAGTCTCCGGTGGGTCAGTACTTGGACAGGCATCCCTTTCTGGCCCTCACTTTGCTGGTGTTCATTGCTGTGTCGGCTGTACCTGTTGGGTTCTTCCTGCTCCTGGTGGTGTTCACCTCCTTGGCTGCTCTCGTGGGGGTCATCTTGCTGGAAGGTATCTGCTCAGCTGTTGGAGAATGACTCTGTGGGGAGGGCAGTGTTTACTGGGCATCTACCATTCTTGTCAAAGGTTCCCAAGTAAGGTGGCTTATCAGGGTCGTTAAGGCACGGGCCCTGGAGTCCACCAGTGTGATTTTGAACAGTTAGTTATTCACCCTCTCTGAGGCTCAAATTCAATAGATAACAAAAATAGGCAGAGAGGCCCAAGTGTTGTATGATTTGTGAACAGTGGGGATTGGAGGCAACTATGGGGCTGGCCAGTTGCCAAGCACCGGGGCCCACTCCATTTTTAAATAATGCCAGGAATCTGGATTTGGGGGGGAAATCTCACATAACAAAATCTGAGTTATCTGTCATTTTGTAAAATACATTGGCCCTGGGTCTGCCCATTTTCAACCTGTTTTATATGAATATTTCTCCTAACCATGTTCTTTACCTAGGACTAGTCATCTCTGTGGGTGGCCTTTCACTGCTTTGTGTCCTCTGTGGCTTGGGCTTTGTATCAGTCGCATTGTCGGGGACAATCATGGTGTCCTACATGGTGGTGTCCAGCCTCATCAGCTTCTGGTTTTCTCCCAGGTAAATATGCGTCAATGGAACAGTGTGATCAATGTCATCTTGTCCATTTTCATGGACAATGTGCTAACCCCAGTTGATGTCTAGAAGCCTAGTTGTAAGAGGCAGGTGTTTTTTATTAGTTCTCAGTACACATCAGACATCAAATGGGAATTTACAGTGGAGATTCCAACAAAAAATTTATTAACTTCATTCATCATATAGAGACCTCATTTCATTTCATGGCAGCTCCATGAGGTAGTTATTGATTCCTTTAAAAGGATGTTGATTTAGTTTACAAAATCAAAACGTTCTTTGGGGTGTGGTGGGAGTAGGCAGGAAAACAACAGGAAAAAATGGCCCCCTCTACTCCATCTTCCAGAGTGGTATAGGAGCAGGAATCTGCTGCCCCCAATAATCTGCCCTGATCCCTTCTGCTCTTTAGAGGGTGAGTTTCTCAGTGTGCCAAGTACAAGTCTTCGTGTGTGTATAGATTTTGTTCATACAATATGCCTCCCTGGCCTTGACCGGAGGAGCAGCAGTCTGTTAGATGATAGTGGGAAAAGAGCTGTGTTGAAGTTACTGAGACACTGTGCTTGTCAATAATGTGCTGCCCTTCTGAAGGATTTTCAGAGGTGACACTTTTGTCCTGTGGTTAGATTTTAACTCTGGGTCATTTGAAGATGGTGGCTAACATCTATTGAGCACTTTCCAGGCCTCATCTTGTGTAATCCTCACAATTAGCTCCATCATAGGGGAAGTGAAGCCAAGTCCCAAAGCTTTAGTATAGCAGAGAAGGGGCTTAAATAACCCAGTTCAATTAACTCTAAAGCTTTCTTAGCCAAGACACTGAGTGACTTCTGGAAATTTCTAGAAAGGTTTATAGTAAATATTTCAATTTTTGTAGGCCCTGCTCTTTTCTCACARCTGTTAGAATCTGCTGCATAAAAGCAGCTCAGACAATACGTGAATGAGCGGGTGCAGTTTCGTTCCAATAAAACTTTATTTATACTAACAGTGGGCTGTATTTGGCCCACAGGCTGTGGTTTGCCATCCCTTGCTCTAAAAGAATCAATACTCACCTGAATTTTGTTCTCATATAGAAGAGCCCTTGAACTTCTTACCAAAAGGTTTTCYTATTGTCATCGATATGTAGAAGTGGGTATAATTTAACATCACTGGGTGATTCCACAGGACATCTTAATTGATATCCATGGAGTCACATTTAGCTTTTCTAAAATGCTTTGATCACTGTTAGGCTTAAAGGAAATAAAAAGAGGCACAGTGGCCTATTTGTTTTTTGAGGGTGATGTTTCTGAGCCCAAACCCCTCCCTGCCTGTGCACCCTCTTCTTAAAAATCATCACAGGAAGTAGCAAAATTTGAATGGCTGTTTATCAATGAAGAGATTGAAAAGAATACCCAAGATCTGTCCCTGATCTCCTTATCCTCCCCTGCTCTTCCCTAGAGGCACTGGGGACCTGTGGTTTTCACTTACGCAGAGATTCTTAAAAATTATTCAAAATCTCCATACTTAATCCAAGGAGATTTTGTTTGTTTATGTGGGTTAATTATTAGAAATTACAACAGAAAATTTTAAACTCTTAACTTTAAAAGGAACAATATTACCTGTTGATATGAAAAACATGGTGTAGTTAAAAACAACTGTATTTTCCAAAAGAAGATGAAATTAGTCAGTGACAGTGACATTGTTTCATGTTTTACAAATCTCTTGAGTATCTGCCCTAGTAGAAGTCAGCTGGGTTCTCATTTGTCATCTGCATGTGTCCCACTGTGGCATGTTGTTCTGATTGGCATAACTGAAGAGGACCCAGCCTCACAAATGTGCAGCTGGGCAAGGGGCAGCTTTCTAGATAACTACAGCTGCTCTTCCGTGGTGGTGCGTAGGTGATAATAATGTGATGTTGAACAAGTTGCTTAACTTCTCTGATCTTGGTAATGGCAAAACAAATGGTAAAATAAAGCCATTGCTCGCCCTGCCTTTCTCACTGGATTGTTGGCAGAGATGCTGACAACTGGGGAAAACAATATCCAGATTAGAAGTGGGGAAAGGGGCCTTGACCCTGCCCGCCTCCCAGTTGTTTTGACCTCTCATGCCCTCAACTTCCTCTTCCCTGAATGGATTTAGCCCCAGATCTTGTGTGGTGACAAGAGGCAGCTAAAATAAAGACCAGAGAATGTCATCTGTTCTGGGGGTTCTCTTAGCATTGCTCTTTAGAGGGCCCTGTGCTGACCATTTTCATCCTGTCACCAAACAGGCTGCTGATACAGCAGAACCCCAGCACCGACTGTCAGTTGGCTATGAAGGCCGCAGACTTCGAGGGGCTCTACCAGGAGTGACCAGCCAACTGGAACCAGGCTTTCCTCCCGCATCTCCAGAAAGCTGTTGGTCACACTCGTCCACTGGGATTATGGCCTAGGAAGACACTCAGGCACCCTGTGGCTGGGTCCCCTGGCCTTTCCACTCACTATGTGTAAAATCCTGTTGTGGACAGCATGGCTTCTCCCTGCCCTACGCTCTCCACGTGTGCAGCTTGACCTTGGCAGGGATCTGGGCCTCCAGAGCCTAGGGCTTATGTCCAGGGCCCCAGTTGGGGGTAATAGTGAATTGTTTTTTAGGGTGTTTATTTGTTTATTTTTTGAGGGTAGTTGTTTTTCACTCATTTGAAATGAGATAAGGAGGAAAAAATATCCAAAATAGAACCAGCTTATCTGCCTTATTTGTTTTTTATCAGAAAGAACAGCAACAATTGGGAATAGGGTTCACTCAGAGTTGGAAGAATCCATACTTTGTGGCCAGGAGTCTTTTTGAAAACGTCTAAAGGTGTGGTTTCCATTGTTACTGTTGAATGCTGTTAAGTGCCATTGACCTTTTACATATTTGCACTTGGTACTTTTGTATTATTTTAAAGAACTTGTCCTATTCAGCCATTTCTTAAAAAAAAAAAAGTGAAAGGACTACAAAGTAAAAATAAAATATCCTGTGTGGTTTTTACTTCAGTAGTTTATTTGCTGCAGGATCTTATTAAATATTTATTTGAGTGGGCTTTAAGAAAATCTGCCCCTTCGACTCTCATATGCCAGAAGACTGCATTAGTCAGCTTTCTGTAAAGGTAACAGATACCTGAGATATCAGTGTTATAAGAGAAAAATTACTCAAGAGTTTCATAGTTTCAGCCCATGGTCCCTTGGCCCTGTGATTTGAGCATGTGGTCGTGCAGTACATCATGGCAGAGGATGTGGCAGGGAACGGCTGGGGCAGCTAGGAAACCAAAAGAAGAGACTGAGGGCTGCATGTCCTCTTCAAGGGATGCCCCCTCCTCCAGTTACCTAACTTTCACCAGGTGCCATGTCCTAAAGGTTCCACTGCCTCCCAATAATAGTACCACAAGTTGGTGACAAAGCCTTTAACACGTGGATCTTGGGGGACACTTACATAGCATCTACCTGTTCTCTCTGTTGATTTCATGGCAGATGCTGGCTAATATGGGTTTTTAATTGGAGTGATGGAAAGAGGGATTAGTTTCATTCAACCAAAAAGCCAGAGGGGGGATCTTCAGGCACTGCTGGGTCTACGGGCTAGGTGGTCTCACCCCTGCTTTTTACAGAATGAGCTGCTTTTTCAGGTAGACCTGTCAAACACGGAGGTCCCAGCTGCTCTAGTCAGCACTCTGAATCTGGCAAGAAAGCGTTTTCCCAGAGGACGTGCAGATGTGCTGGGTTTGGCTCTGATTGAACAGACTTGAATCATGTGAGCAACTTTGAACCAATCATGATGGTCAGGAGGATGGACTAAGCTGATGAGGCCGGGCTGGACAATCCTTTTAGGAGCCAGGGGAGGGGTGCAGAGAGATAGAAGAGGCTCCCAAAGCAATGCCAGAAGAAAAGGAAAGACTTGCTGGGCAGACAAAAACAAATGGTGCTACTTGCCATAGTGGGACACACAAATCTTAATGTGGTACTGGGACCTTTCTGCCTTCCATGACCTTGAACCACATTAGAGAATAAGATTCACCCATTTCTGCCAATACCATGGTGGTATTGATGTTGAGTTACTGATTTTTTAATGTTTCTTCCCTTCATGCAAGTGTCTGATATAATCTGTCTATGCTGTCCACACCGCTGGGTTCTGAGACTTCAGTAATGATGAATGGAAAGGTCCCTGGCTTCCTTCCTGAAGTTGACTGTCCAGGGCACCAGGCACATAACGATTTACCACCCATTGTTGGCTTAAAAAGACATGCGTGTGTCACCTCCCATTCTCTCCCTATTAGGAGTCCAGGCGGAACTCGGCTGGATCCTTTGCAAGACTGCAGTCACAGCCAGGGCTGGGTTCTCTTTTGAGGCTTGACAGGGAAAGGATCCACATTGATCATTGGCATCATCTAGTTCCTTGCTGGCTACAGAACTGAGGCCTTGGGTCCCTTGCTGTGTGTCCTTGTCTACATAGCAGTTCACAGTGTGGCAGTTTGCATTTCCAAAGCCACCAAAGGAGAGTCTTTTCGCAATATGGATACTACTTTCTTAGGTAACATAACATATATAATCACTTACCTCCTGTCATGGATTCTGCACTTTGGTGGTTAAAGTCGCCATATTCAGAGGAGGGGATCACTCCGGGCATAGAAACCACAGATGGGGATCATGGACTGCACCTTAGTTCACCCACTAAAGTACACAAAATATGAAACTGTGATAAATGCATAGAATAAAAGTAAAAAGGTGACAAATCTATAAGAAAGCCCATTTGAGCCTCAGTGATCAGGGATTTCATCTCTTGGAACCAAAGAATGAGAAGTTGCCACCAGGTCAAGCACTGTGGGGACGGTGTTCCTGGTAGAGGGAACAGCAGCACAAAGTCCCAGAGGCTGCAAAGAGCTTAGTGGGTTTAAGGAAATGAAGAATGTCATGTGACTGGGCCTGTTGAGCCAAGGGTTAAGTGGAGGGGAGGCAGGAACTCATCTCGTAGAACCTCAACGGGAAAGACAGTAGAGGATCTTACATGAGAGTGTGATGTGGTCAGACTTAGGTTTTTTAAGAATCACTCCCCAAAGAATTGGGAGCAGGAAGGCCCATTAAGAGGTCCCCAGAGGGATTCTAGGGTGGAGATAATGGAGACCTTCATTTGGAGAGCCAGCAGCATTTGATGTAGATCAACTGTAGGTTGAGAAAGAAAGGACACCTATCCATTTTTAGATTGAGCCAGTGGGTGGCCTGAGACACTATTTTTTGAGGTGGGGGCTGTGTGGAAATTCAAACCCTTCTTTGCTCATATTAGTCCTATTATGCCTTTTTGACATCAAGAGGATATGTTAGGAGGAACATTGGCTTGGAGAGTGGTCTGGCCGAGGTTATAAGGTTTGAGGGCATTTCAGTGCTGAGAGCTTTACACAACCTTTTTGTGAGTAGCAAAGAGAAGATTTGAAAACATGCTTCTGTCCATTAAACACCTTTGCTTCAAGACAGGCCAAGTGCAAGGTGCTTCACATCAGAACTCAAGGTGCTTCACATCAGAACTTCTCGTGGATCAGACCAATCGCAATCTCCACCAGTTTGCTTCTTATTTTTTTATATCAGCATCTGAATTTTAGAGGTGAAACCAAGGTTCAGAGAATAAATGACTCACCCAATTCATCTAAGTCAAGGCAGTAGTGTGAGGTCATTTCAGCCTCTGTTATGCTGCCTGGACCTAAAGCCTTTGCATATCAAACAGTGAAATTATGTACAAAACTCTGCACAGTGCTTGCTGCAGAATAATATAAAAATGCATGACTGCAGAATCATTTAAAAACAGCAGAATGGGAATATGTAAAATACCTACTAGAGGGTTCTTGGRGGCTCAAGGTTATTAAACAAGTATCATTGGAAAAGTAATTAACCCCCAGAGCATAAGAACAGTGACTTCATAAAACCATGGTGTTAATTTAACATTATGCTCATGTTTGTTTTATTTATTCTTGGGCATTTGTCATGTGCTGGGTGCTATCTTCAGCCCTGTGTGCACATCAATACATGTTTCCAAACATCCACACTATTGCACATTTTAAAGAGGAGGAAGGTGAAAGATTGAGAGGTTCAACTGCCTAAGGTCAGATAGATTAAGAAGTGGAATCCAAAGTGTTTGCCTGTCTGCAAAACCCACCCTTGTAGCCAGTGTGCTCTGAAGTGTTAACACTTGAGATGAAATACAAATGGTTAGCTCCCTCTAGTGTTGTTCTTATAAGAATATTGTCTTAACCACTGTTCCCTTTGGACTTTTATTGCCTACCACGCAGAGAACAGGAGTTCCTGTTTGGGTGTGGAGCTTCAAGACCTACCTCAAAAACCTTAAGGAAAAAAAAAAAGAAATCAACAACAATGGGTTTCCTCTTTTATTGCTGAGTAATATTCCACTGTGTATATATGCCATATTTTTTATCCATTCATCTATTGAAGGGAACCTAGGTTGATTCCACAGTTTGGCTTATCATGAATTGTTCTGCTTTAAACATTGATGTGGGAAAATTGGGAATGGAACCACCATTTGACCCAGCTATCCCTCTCCTTGGAGTCTATACCCAAAAGACTTTAAAAAGATCCCATTTTTAGTAAGGATGAGCAATGCTTCTGAGACCAACATTACAAACATGGTAAAAATATTTCAAAATTGATCCCATAATATCCAACAACTGAGCCAATGCCAAATTTTGAGATATTAGTCACAAATTGAATTTGTGTCATCACTGTTTTAAAATCCTGCTTGTGAATAAAATATATAATTTGTTTAGTTAAAAAAAAAAAATGGGTTTCCTAAAGTGTTTCCTGTCTATGCCAGTGGAGGGCGCTCACATCCAGGCTATCTGAAGCTGGCTCAGCAGAGACATCACCGCTCAGACCAGGAATAACTATAGACTCCTGTTCTTAAATTTTAATGTGCGTACATCCAGGTTGTGAAAAGACACATTGAGTTCAGATATGTGGAGCAGGACCCGAATTTCTGCACTGCCTCCCTGCTCCCAAGTGAAGCCTTCCACCACTGACCACATCTGAGTAGCAAGGTAACAGATATCCTCTCCAGCTCTCCCCCTCTATGGGCCCCGAGAGGCCCAGAGAGGGAAAACTGCTTACCCACAGCACACAGGAAGTCTGCACTGTCAGGGCTAGAACCCCTGTACCTCTAAATTCAGGCAAGAGGTTTTTCAAATGAGAAGCAAAGAGATGAGGCTGTCTGCTTTCAATCAAGCTTCTTTGTGCAGTTGGTCCTCAGTGTCTGGTTTCTGCAGCCATGAATTCAACCAGCTCTTGTTCTAGAGCTCTATATATCCTACCGTAGGAACCTGAGCACTTGTGGATTTTGGAAACCGCAGGGGGTCCTGGATCAAGTGCACTGTGGATATCAAGAGACGACTATATTATATTTTTCATCAAATCACTTGCCTTGCAGACAGATGTGCCAGTGGAAATTGAAAGGTAAATACAAGACCCTGGTCCTCGTGGGCCTTGAGAGCCAAAGCAAAATAAATTCATCAGCAAAAGTTATCTTAGTTTTGGTTTATACAAAATTTTTTATTAATCTAAAGAAAAACATAATTTGGTATGTGGAGGGCGCTCACATCCAGGCTAAACACTTTAGGAAACCCATTTTTTGTTGGATTTTTTTCTTTTACTTAAGGTTTTTGAGGTAGATCTTGAAGCTCCACACCCAAATTATAGATGCAAATTATAGACATAGACTCTCTTCTGAAAACAAAATTTTTAATTCTGAATGAGTTTGCACATTTTTACTTACAAAAACCAAAATACCTCCTTTAAAAATTAAGAACCCTTAACCTCTCCCTAAACATTGAACTCCAGAGGCAAAGGCTTCCAGGGTTGATTGAGACAACTAATGAAGTCACTAAGGATCTAGGCTCATGTTTTTGCCTACTTATTCTCAGTATTGGAAGGCTTGCTTCCTCAAGTTCATAAGCTGCCATAGTTCAAGGAATCAGGATGTCATATAATCAT